CAACCCCACTTTCCTTGTCAAAATCCGGCCGACCCCATTGCAAACCCCACCCCTAACGGCAGTTTTCTTTCAACCCACCAAAATTCATGCGCTTAGTACGTTGGCTTGCGTGTGTACACACGTGTGTGTTTATGTTCCAGTCCCCAGGCCACCGACCCCTCCCACACCAGCTCCCGAACAACCAAGAGCCGCTCCTAGAGCGACCTCGCATCCCAACACGTAGGACAACTCAACTAGACTCAACCCACAACGAAGAGAACCTTGACAAGCCTGATTTCACGGCTGATTTCATCAAGACAAAGGTTGGGACCAGATCCTAGGTGATCAGATCGTAAGCCCCCCCGGGAAGAAACCGACAGAAACCGACAAAACTTGAAAAATGACAACAAATCAATTTCGAACGGCTACGGCACCCAATGATGTGCTACCAGTAATACCTGAGAAAACTAAACATTACAGCCCAACAGCAGTAACCAACAAACAACAACAAGCAACAAACTAGCAGCAGACAGCACAAATACAACACGAGCGACAACGCGACAACCAACACAATAACAATAACGGACAACCAAACTTACACAGACACAGACAAAACACAACCAACCAACAATAGCAAACAAACAGCAGTAAATCAAAAGTAAACAAATACCAACAAACAACACACAATGAAGAAATAATACTACTACTACTGCTACTGCTACTGCTACTGCTACTGCTACTGCTACTGCTACTACTACTACTACTACTACTACTACTACTGCTGCTGCTACTGCTACTGCTACTGCTACTGCTACTGCTACTTAAGTGACCCCATGCGACCAGGCATCCCCTAATCATACCTACAGCCTACATATAACTGTAACGCTTTGCCGAACTGGCCAAGTGAGTCATAACAAGCTGGCCTCAAGGGCACTCATTCTTGGAAGCGTCACAAGTCAAAGACATTCCTTTTTGGAGTCGGGCGCCAATGAGTTTGCAGACATGATGATAGGACATAGCTCCCCGGCAAACACACATGGGTTTGCCTTTTTTCAGGGTGGCCGGGCAGGAAGGTTTGAGTACGGGGTATGATTCGCAGGTATGATTCGCGGGTATGATTCGGGGTATGATTCGGGGGTATGATTCGGGGGTATGATTCGCGGAAGCAGCAGCAGCCGCAGTAGTAGTAGCAGTAGTCGCCGAAGTAGTAGTACTAGTAGTAATATTGTAGTAGTAACAATAGTAGTAGTAGTAGTAGTAACAATACTAGTAGTAGTAGTAGTAGTAGTAGCAGTAGTAGTAGTAGTAGTAGTTAGTAGTAGTAGTAGTAGTAGTAGTAGTAGTAGTAGTAGTAGTAGTAGTAGTTGTTGTTGTTGTAGTAGTAGTAGTAGTAGTAGCAGTAGTAGTAGTAGTAAATAGTAGTAGCAGTAGTCCTAGTAGTAGTAGTAGTAGTAGTAGTCGTGGTAGTAGTAGTAGTAGTAGTAGTGGTAGTAGTAGTAGTGGTAGTAGTAGTAACAGTAGAAGCAGCGACGTAGTGGCGCGGAAGCTTTGAAAAGACTTGGCGCTGGCCTTGGCAAAGCAAGTTCATTGCGCGGGTATGATTCGGGTATGATTCGCGGGTGTGATTCGGCGAGGTGCAAAACGGCACTGATTACAAACTCGTAGTAGCTGTGGTAGTAGTAGTAGTAGTAGCAGTAGTAGTGGTAGTAGTAGTAGTAGTAGTAGCAGTTGCAGAAGTAGTGGTAGCAGCTGTAGCATAAGCAGCAGCGGCTGTAGTGGTGCGGACGCTGTGAAAAAGACTTAGCACTAGCCTTGGCAGGGGAAGCTCATTGTCCGGGTATGATTCGGGTATGATTCGCGGGTATGATTCGGCTAGGTGCAAAACGGCACTGATTACAGACTCAGAATGATGTATGTGGTAGTAGTGAGTAGTAGCAGCAGCAGCAGCAGGAATAGTAGTAGTAGAAGTAGTACTAGTAGTAGTAGTAGTAGTAGTAGTAGTAGTAGTAGTAATAGTAGTGGTAGTGGTAGTAGCAGTAGTAGTAGTAATTGGAGTAGTAGGAGTAGTAGTAGTAGGTAGTAGTAGTAGTAGGTAGTAGTAGTAGTAGTAGTAGTAGTAGTAGCGGCAGTGGCAGTGGTAGTGGTAGTATTGGGTAGCGCTGGTGGTGGTTGTTGTGGAGACAGTGAACAACACAAAACGGTAGAAGAACAGTCGCATCTTGCAGCATACGTTTTAAGGGGTATGATTCGGGGGTATGATTCGGGGTATGATTTGGGGGTATGATTCGGGGGTATGATTCGGGGGTATGATTCGGGGAGGTCCCACCTTCTGCCTTTTGAAGCAACTCAACACACCAAAAAAGGACAAACCCACATGGCGCTCAGCCCTGAGTCAGTTGTGTGTTGCCAGGGGCACGCCGACCGCAAAATTTGCGCAGCAGCCTACAGCAAGACCAAAATAAGACCAACTAAACGGGCACACAGCTTGATTCATTACCAGCAATGGGACGCAATCGCTTCAAATTGAAATTAAGTAAGGTCACTCACATCCGCTTGCATGCAGACAATGGTGAAACGGCACTTGGCTTGTGACACAGTCTTGAGCTTGGTCCACAGAACGCCTTGCCGGATTGCGCTGAGCAGCCGTTGTGGCTGTGGCCTGCGCAGCTCCGTCCGATGGGAAAATCAGTGGGGTCTGGCTCAGTGAGCTCAGGCCATGTGAAACTCAACAACACAGTGACAACACTGCCAGTGACAGTACGGCCCTTGCTGAGCTGCGCACTCGTCCTCCGCTGCTGACTGCTGACTCCAGTAACTGCTCCATTCCCATGGCTGTCAGCGGCAGCGTTGGTAGCGCTGGTAGCGTTGCACTCGGTGTCAATGTCGAGACCGTGCTCCCGGCATTCAGGGCCATCGTCTGCCGTCACATGCGCTGGGACCTGGCCATGCATTGCCATTGCCGGTAACTACTCAATAGTTACCCTCAAACTTGAAAGCGCAATGCCTTGTCTGCGAGCCGCAACATCCATTCAAAGGAAAAGTTATCATACCCACACGCAAACCCTATAAACCCCTAAACCCTACACAAAGCACAAACTAATGCCGTTAAGTGACAAAATGTCATGTCATGAGTCATGAGCGCACTTCGCCCTCGCAGGTCACAAGCAATCGCTCGCAAAAGCCTGGTTATCTGGTTGCTGTTTCTTATCTCCGTCTGTAATTAATGCAGAACACACTGCGCCTTGTTTTGGCGCCGAGATTGATTCATCGTGCAACTGACACACACAATGTTTGACGTCCTGCGGAGAGAACTGATTCTCAAGAACGAGCTCCTCCCTCAACACGTCAAACATCGTGCGACGAGTCAAAATATATTAATTAAGTGGCTGAGCTGGCCTCCGACCACTGTGGCGCCAATCACATTTCGGACCAAGGCCTCTCCCATAACCGGGCAATGGCACGGGCATGAACCTCTGAGTCTTGTCAATTCCGTGAAAGCAATGCCATGGGCAATGGAGCTGAGGTACTGCGTGAGGAGCTTCTTTGCCAAACATTCTGCCAGACTGTCAGTTGCGTGGCCTGCTTTTGCTGCAACGCAGCGTCCTTGACTTGGGCGTGTGGCTTGGAAATCATGACTTGTCTGGTTTCGCAGTCTCGCGGTCACTTGCTGGGTGGAGGAGTATGATGCGTCACTCCTTGACCCAGTTCGTGCGGCGGTGGCTCAAAGTAAACTGTCCTTCCACGTCACGGATGTGGTGGCTCAAAAAGACTTTGACACAAGCAATTTCAAAGCGTCTCGCTTTGAGCCACCACATCTCCTCTCACCAACAAAAGCAGTCCGAGGCCCCGTGGCATTGCTTGTGCCCCGGAGATGCGGTCGCTCAAACTTTGAGCCACCACCTTTGAGCCACCACTGCTCCTCTCACCAACAAAAGCAGTCCGAGGCTCCATGGCATTGCTTGTGCCCCGGACGCGGCGGCTCAAACTTCGAGCCACCACATCCGTGACACAAGCAATTTCAAAGCGTCTTGCCTTGAGCCACCACATCTCCTCTCACGAACAAAAGCAGGTCATGCAACTGACAGTCTGAAAGAATGTTGGATGTGCTGAGGGAGGGCACGACATCAGACATCTTTGCGAAGCGGCCCGATCTAGAGACTCCAGCTTGGGCCACTTTAGAAAGATGTCTGAGGAGCAAGTCGCACGGCGCAGCTGCCATGGCATCCGGCGGATGGCGCAGATGCGCCCAGTCAGTGTCAGTCAGACATTTAAACGCGCAAATTCAGCAAAGGTAGTTGCACTGCGCTGCACTGGTAGCTGAGTCTATGACTCATTTTGTCAGCAGCCAGTCGCCGTAGCCTTCTTTGAGACTCAGTCACGGCGTCGCTTGACTTAATCAACTTGGCTGGTCAGGGCCTTGCTTGACAGCCAATTGTCACTGAGCCTTGACTGATTCCGCGCAGCCCAATCCTCGACCGCGTGGAGCAGAGGCGAGCTTCACTGATTCAGCCATGTTGCCGTCATTGACAATAGCAATCAATGAGGATCGTCGCGAGGATCGTCGCTCTGCCGTGAAGGATGATGGTTGGTCAGACTCAAGCTCGCACGGGCCTCCAATGAAGTGACCCATCCTTCCCCAATGGTCTGAAGTCTGAGATTTGGGCCTGCGCTGCCCGTTCAATTCGATGAAGAAGCACCCAGGCCAACTGTTCCAGCTTCAGCCATGGCAACAGAGTTTGGCGTGAGACATCGAACTCTGACACCATTGCTCAAGCTGAAGCAGTGGACCTGTCTCTGCTTAAATGTCACGGTCTGAAATTTGGGATTCAATGAAGGGCCCAGGCCAAGTGTCTCGGCCTTTGGGACTACCCAAATCCCTACCATAGCTGAAGATGAAACAATGGACCTGTCTCTGCTTAAATGTCATGGGCGTCAGAACCAGCACTCAACATTCACCCGTTCTCGTGTAGGCACTGCTCCGGGGCGTGAGATCATGGCTTGCAGATAAATAGCGCACAGATTCGCTGCACAAATGCGCATTGCGCCCGTGACCTACTTTTAATGATGTTGATCTGGCTGCGCATGCCACACATTCTGTTGGTCTGTTTGGGGTGCGACGCGTTCGACTGCTTGACCGGACACGCGTGTCATGTGCTGTTGAGTGATCGTACGCGCACATAGCTGATCAATGCTGAATGAGTCATGTCTTCTGAGAGTCGTTGGATAGGGGCTTGGGCCATTGGGTCTGCTCTGTTTGGGCACTGTGTGTCTGGGAAAAGGAGGCGCGCTCTTTGACATTTGCGATATGAAATCAACTGTTGATATGTGAAACTGCTATCTATCACTTGTCAGTGTCAGCAAAGATCAAACAATTGTCTTGACACCTGGCTTCAAGCCTTCCAGCCCGAAAGCGTCACAGCCCCGCGATCGTTCCCGCACAAGTTTTTTTGCTTGATGTGCAATCTGTCAGCTGCAAACAGCCATCAGCTACAGCAAAAGGAGCACTTCACTTTCGAGGGCGTTTCCTGTCTACTCTGGAACAAGAGGAGCGCTTCACTTTCGCCTGTTGCTCGCAACCTCCGGTTTCGCGGCGAGCAGGCCCCAAGTCCGAGCCCGATTATCATGGAGATGAGTCGCCTGCAATGTAAATGAATGTGGAATGATGGGGTACAGTACTCCTCCAGCAGCTGCCTACCAACCCTTGCTTGTTTTACGGACTCAGTGCAATGACAGCTATGACATGCAAACACAGTGTTTTCCCGGGCGCCTATAACTATCTCCGCTGAAGTCTCAGTCGGCAACCCTTGGAGTTCGGCACGACAGCGTCCGTCCGGGCGGTGCAGTCTCTCAGCTACAAACAGCAATTAGGTACACCAAGAGGAGCACTTCACTTTCGAAGGCGTCTCCTCTACCAAGAAACCCGCCGCTCGCCTGTTGCCCGCGACCGTCCTTCTCTTCCGTGAAAGTCCGAGCCACATTTTTCAGGCGCTCGAGCCATCCATTCCACATGCAAGGTCATCATGTCCGCTGCAGCACGCGGACGACCAACAGGCGCGGACATGCTGAAGAGGTGGCAGCTCTTGAAGTGGCAGAACGCCTCCACCGCGAAAGGCTTGGCATTCTGAATGGCTGCATAAGGAAACACCTCTTGGTGGCAAGTGACGAGGTGCTTTTCTCCTTGGATGTCGAGCATTGCAATGTAGGAGCCGAACACGCTTCCACGTTGAAAGAAAGTGCCCAAGTCAGAGCAGGCGATGTCCTTGTACATACAGGTCGCGCGCTGGCAGCACAGAGCCTTCTGGGTGCTGCTTGTCGATGCAGATCACCTTCTTGACAATGATCGACTCGAGTCATTGTAATCGATGCCCAAGGCAGGCCTGGCTGCGAGGACTTGGAAATGCGAAGCCTGCGCGGGCAAGCCTGGCTCTTGCTGTCGACTGGAGTTACCGTCGCCGATGGCTCTCCGACCTGTCGCGCTTGCCATCCTTGAGTCGTGCGAGGGGCCGTAGCAAGTCTAACATCAAAGGGGCCTTTGAAGCAGAGCGCCTGCGCGCCCTTCTCTTCGATCAGCTTTGCGACCTGCTGCTCGTCACCCACCTTCGCCAGCACCGCCAAGCGCTCGCCGCCAATCAAGACGTTCTCCACTTGGCCGCTCCAGTCTGCAACGCGCGCTGCTGCCAACACGCGGGCAGCGCTGTCGGGCTCACTCGCACGTCCGCTCGCTTGCACTTGCCTGTGTCCGGATTGACCTTCGCGCCGCAGTGCTTGCACAAGCAGCCTGGCCACCTCACCCTCCGCGTGGCCGGCCGGGTACCATAACAACAAAACCAAACGCCTAGCACCAAATGCAGCGTCAACGAGATATGGCTGCCTACGTGTCTGGCCCTTGGTTGCCTTAGAGCGAGCTACCCTTCTGGAACAGAACAAAATCTCCCAGAAACATTTTCCAACAAGCCAGCAGCCTGACTTCGCAAATCATCGCCCGCCTGGGCAGCCGGCTCTGGCTCCCGTGCTGCTGGCTCCGGGATAGGCTCCTTGCAATCGTGAACATGGAAACAGACATATTTGAATCACCCCATCCGCACACTCTCGGCGTTTCTTCTACGCAGCCCGCGCCGGTGAAAGCAAACACAAACAACCCTGTGTGAACTGAGCCTGGCCTGCGCGCGCAATACAACTCGACATCTGACAGCTTGACATCCACACACACACACGCGCACACACCTCGCGTAGCACCCGCAAACAAAACAACTAAACACCAACGCATCTCTCGGCCTGCTCGGTCAGCTTCTGCAGCACAGAGTCAGCCAGTTGAGCTTTCGCCAAGTTGATACCGCCAGCCCTCTGCGGCACGCCAAGCTGCGGCGCCAGAGTGCAAAGTTCCACCACAGCCTTCGCCGCCAGCTCTTCCTGGAGCCACGCTGCGGGCATTCTTGGCCAAGCCAGCGTGAAGCCTGGCCACCTCCAGCTCCGCGTCGTCCGGCCTGTCTGCGGGATCCACGCAAAATGGCACGCCAGCATGATCCACCAGAATGCCCGCAAAACTGAAAGAAGCGCAGCCCAAAGCCCCAAAGCAGCAAAGAAATGAACACATCCCTAGGCCTGGCTTGCGGGGTGAACTTCTGCAAGACAGCTGCAGCCAATTGAGGCTTCGACAGCTTGCAACCATCGACCTTCTGAAGCACGCCAAGCTGCCTCGCCAGTGTGGCAACATCGTCTCTGCTTTTTGCCTCCGCTTCCTCTTGCAGCCACGCCAGGCCATGACGAATCACGCCGGCCTGAAGCCTTGCTACTTCTCGCGCCATGACTTATGCTTGATATAGCACTGCCAGTGCGGATACAGCCAAACTTTGCAAACCATGCTCGCTCACGCAGAAACCACTTTGCAATAACGCTCCTGATGACTCTGCACAATGACCCTCATGACTCTGTGCAGTGACGACGACTCTCATGATGAGTCTATGCAATGACTCTCATGACGACTCAGTGCGCAATGACTCTCATGATGACTCTGCGCAACGACTCTCATGATGACTCTGCGCAATCGCCTTGCGCAGGTTGCTCCGTGCAGTGACTCCCATGATGACGCTGTGCAACGGAGCTGTGGGAGTGTACTCCGCGTACTACGTTTGCACTGACGAGTTGCGATTTTTGAGCCGGAGCTGCGCAATTGCTCTGCGCAAGTTGCTCTGCGCAAATTGCACTTAAAAGTTGCGATTTTGCAGCCGGAGCTGCGGGAGTGCACCCCACGCGTTTGTATTTAAAAGCTGCGATTTTTGAGCCGGAGCTGCAGGCGTGTACTCTGCGTGCTACGTTCGCACTTAAAAGTTACGATTTTCCAGCTGCGGGAGCGTCCTCCACTTACTATGTTTGCACGTAAAAGTTGCAACTTCGGTCTAGAAGAGCTGCCGCGCGCGCGACTCCGAGAGCAGGCGTTCGCAAGCAACAAATTCGCACGGCGCCACAGCAAGAGCGCTTCGACCGCGATGATCTCCGAAGAGAGTCGCGTGGGAACCGCAGAAATCGCAAAAAGTCCTCAGTTTTTGAACATCGACCACACGAATCTCCGCAGAGGGTCGGGCGCGCAGATCAGAAATCGTAAAAAGTCCTCAGTTTTTTGACCTCGACCACACGAATCTCCGCAGAGGGTCGCGCGCGCACCGCAGAAATCGTAAAAGTCCTCCCATTTTAACCGAGACCACACGAATCCACGCCGATCTCCGCAGAGGGTCGCGGGCACAGATCAGAAATCGTAAAAAGCCCGCAGTTTTCTAACCTCGACCACGCCGATCTGCACAGAGGGTTGGTTTTCGTAAGAGTGCTGTCGGCCCTACCCCGCCGCCCTAAGAAGAGAAGAAAGGAATTTAACACTCATGAGCCATAACTCTGTGCAGTGGCTCTGTGCTATGACTCTGTGTTATGACTCTGATGATGATAATGATGATGATAACTCTTTGCAATGACTCTCGTGATGAATTTACAACTCTCATGAGCAATGACTCTGTGCAATGACTCTGTGCAAACGACTCTGTGCAATGACTCTGCGCAATGACTCTGATGATGACAACTCTTTGCAATGACTCTCCTGATGATAACTCCCATGAACCCAGCAGAAGAACCCTTCGCCATGCTTTCGGGAATTTAAAGGATTCACTTCAATTCAGTTGGTCATTTTTCCAAATTGGACCCAATCAGTGGCTGACACTAATCCGGCTGAGGAGCCTGTGACACTGTGCGTGTTGACAGTGAGACATGGAGCAGTGATTGGCACTGAGCCTTTATGTATTCACTATCACTGCCTGGTCATTGGGTCATGATCTTTGGCAGGCCTCATTCTTCCGACTTTGACAGTGTGAGACAGCCAGCAGCGATTGGCACTGAGCCATTTATTTATTTATGTATCACTGCATTTTTGTCACACCATCAACCCTGCACTGCAGGTCTCACGGCAACCTTGTCTAGCCATGCTAAACTCTCATTGAAAAATCCCCCACGCGCACGCTTTCCACGGGTCCCGCGCAGAATTGTCCAAATAGCCGGCGGCCGGCCCAATTTTTCTTCAACGATGGAAGCTGGCAGGTCTCAATTGTCTTGACACCAAGTTTCAAGCCTTCCAGATCGTTTTAAACCAATGCACAAACTTAGAGGATTCATTTCAGTTCAGTTGGCATGACATGACTCAGGCTGATTGAAAGGACATGCTTCTGGCCTCATTTTGCCGAACTGGACCCAATCAGTGAGCTGAGAAGCCGTAAAAACAATCTGCAACGCACGACACTGACAATGGCCAATGGCAACACAAGTCAACACTAACGACATGCTGCAAATCAGGCTCAGAATCGTCACAACCGGCCCGATGCACCACGGCAAAGTCTTGACAGCAGCGAGCAGCGATGGCACTAAGCCCTTATTTATTATTACTGCCTGCTCATTGGACCGTTGGTGTGGAATTAGTCTGAATCACCAGGATCATATGCTCCCATGCTGTACTTGCCGTCCTTGTGGAAGATGTTAATGTCCCATTGATATGGATGAATCACATCGGACAGTTCGCATGTGTCCATAACCCACACTGTGTGACACCTTTCAAGAATACCAATGTTGCTGTCCGTGTCGGTGACGCCACACGCCTCACTGGAAATTTGCTTCAGCGCAAGATACTTCTGAGGACCAGTTGTCATTCCTATAACCGTTCAGCAAGCAGAGCAGCCACCCAACCAACTCGTCCCAAAGCTTGATGCCCTCAGAGTTTGCAGGGCCAGCCTCACTCATGTGATCCAGCCTCTTGAACCAGACCACGGCGTGACATTCTCCTAACAGGTCATTTTGTTCTGTCTCTGGAGGATGTGCCACTTTCCCAGCCACTCCTGAATGTAGGCAAAACGGCCGTTGAACCTCATACCAGCAAGGTCGGCTTGGTTGGTGAGCGGCATTTTAGCATCCATGATTGTCCTCACGGCGCTGGGGCTTTAATTGTCTCTATAGAATAACTCGCCGTGGTGAATGTGGGATCCAAACGCTGTTTACCCCTTGTACGGCCAATAGGGAAAACTTGTGTCTCTGTTCTGCATGCTCATGACTTCCAAGTGTACTCCCTTTGGAAGTGTGTGGGTCATACACGAAAACCCTTGTACACCTTCGCACACTGCCTCATCACCGGGTTGAGGAATCACAGCAAGGGGTTTGCTCCAGCAAACGAATCGAGCATGTTGTTGTACTCCTTCATGGTTCCGTTGGGATTCGTGTGTAGGTCAAGCTGACCAACGTGGAGCTCTCCTCCTTCTGCCAAATCAGCCATCTCGGAGAGATTCACAGCGTGGTTGTACTTCTGGAACTCCTCCCTCGGATAGAATATCGGCTCCTCTGTTTCCGGTTGATGCGATTTCTCATGAGGTTCGCTGGACATCGGCTTCGGATGAAGGATGTCCTTCCGGAAGAAACAGCATCTGAATCTTTCCACGTGCCAAGTCAGATTCTGTTGCTCTTGCGGTATCTTTGCATGTCCCCTCATGGGATTCTTTTCCGCACGTGATGCAAATATTGAGTTCGCCAGCGCGATCGCAAGGATTCTCGAACATCCGCAACAGCTCTGCTCGTCTCGGGATTCAACAGCCCCGAGCATTTCATCTCCATTGGCGTCCACAATTGTCGCCTCAAACAAGTTGCTGCCACCCCCAAGGAAATTCACGTAGCCCCTCACTTGTCGCGGCCCGACACGATTCCGCATTTTTGAAGAATTTCGTGGCAGAGCGGGACGCTGTGCTGGCAAAGACGCACCCCGACCGGACTGCAGCGAAAGAGCTCTACCTGAGGCTCCTCTACGGTGGCAGCGTCGAGAATTGGGTGACGGCGCACAAGATGACGACCTTTCCAATGATGGACTACGCGCTCGAGTTTCAGAGGACGGTGAGGGCTCTGGTTGCCGAGGACTGCTCGAAGAACCGCGACGTGCTGAAACGGCTGAGAAACGAGACTGCCCGACCCCGCGGCGATGTCCTCGACTCTCGATTGTTTGGCCATGATCGGGTTCACGACCACGATCAGCCTCGTCCTCGCGATCGGACTCGTCTGCTTTCCTTTTCTGGCCTGATGAACTGGCTTCCTCGAGATCGATGAACGGGTTCGAGTACGCCAGCCTGTCCATGGTGTCCATGACATTCTTGTTGGGGACTTCCATGTGCTTCACATTGCCGCTTCTCTTCCGTCATGTGAGAGGTCATGTTCTCCCTGATGAACTTCAGGAACGTGGCTTCCAGCATTGGTCGGTATTGGCAAACGTTCCCCAACTTTGGCAATTCTTGTCCGAAGTAGGATATGACGTTGAAGAATCCGAGAACGGTCTCCAATCCATCTCCCAACTTCTCTTCATTGTCGGTGGAGAAAATACGGCGCGCCTGCTCTTGACCGAGAAACCAACGCATCCACGAAGCGTATACAGCGTTTCCGTAGTCGCGCCATACATGGAATTTGGTCTTTCTCTCTTTCGTTCCATCGGAATGGGTCACGATGTACGACAGCTTGTCTACCTGCAGTTGCTTCCCATTGCTACTGCGGAAGTAGTCAGCAAAGGAGTCTCTATCGAGCGTGATGCCTCCAATTTGCGACAGCTCCTTCGCGAACTTCTTGTTGAACAGAATCACGATGAGGTGTTGCACAAAAGTATCCAGGTCCCCGTCGAGTATGCTCTCAAGCTCGTTGATGTCACCGAGCACAAGGCAGCATTCAGCGAAGAATCTTTTCATGGTGTTGGGGCGGTCAGCTCCCTTATACATGGTATTCTGCTCGATCAGCCCGTTGGCGTGGCAATTGATGCATGTGTCCGCATTGTACAAGTGGTCGGCCGTGGATTGAGCTCCCTCTGCATGACATTGTGCGCAAAGTGAATCTGCCACGTCTTCGAAGTAACACCATTTCGACCGCATATCATCGCCGTCAACCTTGCCAATCGCCTTGCCTTCTCTTCGCTGCTCTTCATGATGCGTCTTCTGCTTGTTGAAGTGAGCAGTGAAGTCCGGCTTGTA